TGGCTGGGCTGAAACGTCACCACAACTTTGACACACAGCAACATTTACTTGTTAGAGTGGATCATTTAACACCCTGAACGTCTCAGCCTGCATTCCAAATGTTTACACTGTAGGTCCACCTGATGCACGAGAGTCCATTACTGCTGTCTCTCCTGGAGTGTGTTTGATCTGCACAGACTCCTGAGGGAAATGTGAGACTCTTTAGCAGCTAAATGTTCCACTAAGTTCATCAGCTTCTCTCCGACCCTGTCTGTCTGCTGTTGTTTAGGCGCTCCACTGGGTTCTGAAGAGGGATTCAAACGAGGTACATGGCAATATACTGTATGTCTACTGTCGCTGTTCTATTTTGTAGCTAAAGTATTACAACAAAAGAGGTAAATAAAAATAAATGTAAATATGTTGTAAAGTGAGACAAATGTTTCATAGTAGTGTGGTTGTCTGAAATGTTCTTTCTGCGTGGCCGAAAAAGTTTGGTAACCGCTGTCCTTGATGATTGAAGGCACAATTGATGGGCCGTAGTCCTACCAAGTCCTTAATGAAACAGGATTAAAATGGACTGTGACAGCTGATAAATAATACATGGTACTCGGTACCATGAGTAGTTTGAAGGATATGAACGATGGTTGTTCTCTGGTACATAAATGCTGAGTGCAGTATGGCTTTTCTGCCTAATAAATAAATGAGTTTATAAAAAAATAAAAAGACTTTCATGAATACGTGACATTGAGTCGCAGTGTCAGAACACGCAGGTAGAGCATTTCCTTCAAGATGCTGAAGGAGAATTACTGTAAAGGTCAGTGGGTTAGGTTCGACACACACCTTCACGCCACTGAGGTTTCTACATACACAGGGCTTCAGTGTGTGTTTGAAACTTTTTTTTTGTGATCTGTAAAAATAAAAACTGCATTTACATTTGGATATTAATTACATTTCATAGATTCAGTAATTTCTCACCTCCACCAGCTATTTTTGAATTTTTATTCGGAATGAAGTAATTTCCAGAACCTCACATCCAGGCTCCTGTTAAAAAAACCCCACACATTTCACCTCAAAACTATCTTCGAGTCACCGTGGTTAGTAACTGACGTCTGCTCTTCGCTGTTCTACGGTCACAGCTGACCTCAGTCGTGTGCTGACCTGGATATGGTGTTGTTCCACTGTCCATGGAGGTGGGCTGAGGGGGGAGGGGTGGGGGTGAGGGAGGGCAGCCCCATTGGCCTGGGCTGCATGCCAGCTGGTCCCTCAGCTCTTCTGGGAAAGTTTTGATGAGGATGCACAATATGTGTACGTGTGTGCAGCAGATAAGTGTGGCCAGCGGATAACCTGAATTGATCCCCCACGGCCTGGATCTGTAGTCTCTGCAGAACTGAAGGGACACAGGCACCGTCCGAATAATTACCACTGACCAAATGGTCTGTGTTATGAGTGAAATATAAGGTATGTACGTGGTGGTAGCAGAGCTGAAACTATGCTGTGTTAGACACAATATCGCTGCACTGCCATAAAGTGAGACATTAAGTTGATGGGACGGAGTCAACCCACTGCGACAGACAGGGTGGTGTCAAGGTACAGTGAGGACCGGGGGTAAAGGAACCCTGAGGGCCCACAGGGAACAGTATTGATACAACAGGTAAAGTCAGTCATGTTAGTGGTGGTAATGATGTCACTTTAAGTCATTACAATATCTGTTACCAAGTTAGTCACAGAGTTAACTTCCCACTTATTGATAGGAAGATTTGAAGATGATGTGAAGACAAAGGTTTATGTTCTTGTCTTTTTCCCCTGTGTTAATCTGTGTCATCCAAAGTAATATTAACAGCAACTTATAAGATTTTATAATCAACAAAATTAAGAGATGAAGTGGTTACTATGATTTTAGAGGTTTCAGTTCAACAGTGTTTATAACTGTGGTTCCGCACGCACTGGGAATGACTTAAAAACACATCTGCTGAAAGAAAAATGCTTTTATACAAAGGAGAGAGGGTGGGAGACAGAAAGGGAGAGAGTATATTGTATGCATGCACACATTAAGAAAAGCACAGGTGTAAGTAATTAAATAATGTGGGCTAAACTCCATTTAGCTGCTGCTCCAGTTCTGGCCTCTGTTATAGATTACTGGGCCAGTTTAGTAGAACAAATTTACCATTAATAATGTAAAAGCCTGTCCTTTTCCTACACAATGAATGGGAATGTCTGTTGTGAAAAAATGCTTTTTGCTCAATGATTTAACTGCAGCTACAAATTGCAGCTTCTCCATCTGCTAGAAGAGCCACACAGTGTGTTAAAGGTTATCACCGTTGGTTATCACAGTGATTTCAGGGTGATTTTTTTCCCCAGGGCAATGTAAACTGACTAACAAATGTTTCTTCTCCAAGAAAAACCCATGAATTGTACTGTACTGTAGATATTTTAGTTATTAAATAAAACTACAATGTGCAATAAAAATAAAGTCGGTTTAAACAGCTCAAATTTGATTTCATGTTGATTAATGTGTCTGTAGTTGTGACTGATAATGCAGATAAAAATAATCTTTCTAATATCTAAAATTCAAAATGACCACCTTAAACGTAGAGAAAATGTTAAAGCACATACATGTTTTCCTGTTGACTTTAGTTATACCTCTACTAAATGTCCTTCTTTAATGTCACAGCAAGGTTGGTTTAAAAAAGTCCTGATGCATATGAAAGGGACGGTGGTGAAATCTGATACATATTATATTTGCCTGAGGCTAAGGTGGAATGAATCTGGTTCACTTCCTTTTTATCTAGTGTCATTATAAAGTTCATTTCTTTCTGTGGTCACATGTGAGAACGTTAATGTCATTCCCATTGGCCTCAGTTAGTCTCTGTTTTAGGCTGAGGAGCAGTTTAATCATGCCTACACGCCGCCGTGGCAGATGTTATCCATCATCATTATTAACGTGTTAGTTCTTAGCCTCACAGGCTACCGTATACAGGTTAGTCCACAGCCCAGTGTGCCGTTACACCAGGCCATCTGGTGGTGAGAATGAAAATAAAAAATGTTTTGTATTACTTTTTAAATGAATTAGAGAAGTGTCAAAAATACGAAATAGTCACATAGTACTCTACATTAACACATTCGCATTAGCATTGGATTTGACAGGAATTTATTCCGTCAAACAGTATTTGCAGTTTACATTCTATGAAACAAAAACATAATGTAACTGTGGACCAAAAGAGACCAAACCTTTGATTTAAAGGTGTGCTGGTAAAGATCACAGGGCCTGATCATCTGAATGAACCATTTGCACTTCACACGGTTCTCTGTTCCACATGAGAACAGAGAACCGTCCATCAGTTGTACGGAAGCAGCGCTACAGCCTTTAGCGGCGTCTGAAGACTCTGATGGTTCTGTCAGACCTGTCCAGGGCCAAACAAGCGTGACGGGCCACACTGCTGGCTGACAAGTGAAGTGACTCAGAGCCCACAGATTTTACGGGACAGAAGAGAGAAGGAGAGGGTGGAGGTTGAGACCCCCATGGAAAGTGCTGATGTTGTAGCAGCAACTGTAGGTCTCTGTTCTCTCTGTTCTATTGCTGAGTGATGGGATTGTTTTATAAGAGGAGTTTGGTTTATAAGAGGAGTTTGGTAGTGGGATTGTTTTATAAGAGGAGTTTGGTAGTTTTTCTCACAGCCTCCAAACAACCAGGATCAGTTTAACTCAGTACTTTTTGGTTTCAGATGCTCCTTTTCAAAAACAAAAATAGGAACATTGTGGTTCTCTGACCAGTTGGGGGAGTCAAACTAAAAATTCTTATTATGATTGAATTTTTGGATTGAGATTTGTCTTCTGCTCACTTCTTCTTCTTCAAAAAAAAAGTTCATGGGATCATGCCACATAATCTCAAGTTAATTTGTATGTGTGTGTGAGAGAGAGATAGTGGTTGAAGACTACGCCTCCTATTGATGGAGCAGCGTGGTTCCAGATCTGTGTAACAGTCTCCACAACTCCTGGAGGTGGAGGGTTGTTGGATATTTAATGTGAATCAGACTGAGTCATATGGTCTTCGACACTCAATGTCTGAATCACTGCATCAGTTAGGGTGAATCGTGCTGAATGAACACTGAATAATAATCCGTTTTTATAGTCAAATAACGTGGTTTTCTGTAACTAGTCATAGTGACGGTCCTCACAAACACAGCCCCACGCCTCTCACGCATGGATCTGGGTGGATGGAGGGATGGACGGACGGCGACACTGTGATGCTGGAGGATTCCTCTCGTCTCATTGCGCAGGATGATACTGCAGCTCCGCTACGGTCTCACACTCCAACCCACCTTGAAACGGTGCCCCCAGTGATGCGTTCATGTACTCTGAGGAAACCTATTACTTATAGGGATTTTCTGTTTGTTAAATAAGTTTCATATTTTTTAAGTTTCAACCTATTTCATATTTTGAGACTTACACAATAATTGGCAACAATGTATTGCGTCATCCGACCAATTAAACACATAAAAATGTTTTTATTGATTTAGTTCATTATGCCTAATGATATAATTTGTTAGATATTTGACGCAGTTTTAGACTTAACAATAACACACGCACGCACACACAATTTAAAACAATTTATTTAACAATAAAAATTTGCTGCACACCAACAACATTCTTAAATGAGGTTTTATTAAACAATTAATCAATTGATCAAAACCAAAAATAAAAAATATAAACGCAAATGAAAAGAAAACGGTTAAATAAAAATTATTTAATTATTTAATAAGATAACATATGTCCTAATTTAACTGTTATAGTGGTACAATTTTAAAAACTGTACATTTCATACACAGTCAAAGTTTATAATCTTTGATCTCATAATTGTAAATGTTATTTGTTTCAAACCAATGGTTTGTCTAATTTCTTATATTTCGTTTTAAAATCTGCAGATTCTCACCAGAGGGAATCCCAGGCTCAGAAGTGGGTAATTCTAAAATTTCCGAACATTACCGCATGGCTTAAATGCATCATCGTCGCCGGGTAAATGATAGCATAGTTATCGAATCAACGGCGGCAATTTTCTTACCTTCACCAATGAGAGTCGTGCAGAGGCGGGAGCTGCGGTCCTGTAAAGGCTGGCACTTGGTTTCACAGCGGCGTCTGCTCTCGTCCCATTGGCGCAGGTGATCCGTCTCAGGATGCGAGTGGAGAGCGGAGGAGAGGGGAAGAGAGAGGGGAAAGCGCCGATGGAAAAGTATCCAGGGCTCGGTTAGGAAGAGAACAGGAGTTCGGGCCGCTTCCGCTTGTCCTCGGGCCACTCGGCGATGAGAGCTTGACCGAAAGGGGCACTTTGAGATATGATGAGGTTTATCTCTGGTCGGCGATAGTACTATGATTTGGTATGTGGCCACTTTGATAGCAAGTGTATTCAGCAGCCGAGGAACGGCCGCTCAAGGTGAGTCGAAGTGCAGTGTCTCTATCCTCAGGCGCCTTTTGCTCAACTTTCCTTTCCTGAATTTTTATCGACAATAATTTTAAAACATTTTCTTTGCATGTCTTTGCTTTACTTTGAATATGTCGCTGCGGTGTTTAAAAATAACGCCCGGCTTTGCGTGGTGAAGTTCATGTGTGTGTATATGTGAGTGTGTATGTGTTAATCACCGCACCTGAGTGGAGCCGGCCCGGCTGATGATGACATCAACGCTCCGCTGAGCTTTAACAGGCTGCAGGAAAGAAGTCAGTCATGATGTTGGGAGCTGCTGTTAAAATGTTTAAAAACAAGCTGAGCTGGTTGTTTCCAGTGTGCGGTAGATAATGGAGATCAGGACCGTTTTAAAAGGCTCCACTGTCAGATTTAAGGCTGTGTCAGGTTCACATTACCGGCTCCACAGGATGTGAGTCTGCTGTCCTGGAGCTCCAGGACATTTTGCGGTGATGGTGGATGTGGAAGGAAGGAGGAGGAGGAGGTGGTGGTGGTGGTGGTGAACAGCTGAGGATTTGGACTGCGGCGGCCGCTATCACTGAGCCTTACGCCGGCCGTCAGCCTTGGGTAAAATGTGAGGGGCAGATGTGATTGAGTGTGGTGGTGCGTTGGTGTAGATGTCATTAAAATTAACCTCTTCCTGTGGAGCTGTCCGTGCTGAAGCTGTGCTCACAGCAGCTCTATCCGCTAGAGGGAGCAGTTCATAAGCCGGCTCTGTTATAAGGTACATGTGAGGGAAAGTAGACCTGATTTTCCTGGTCTTTTCATCAGACAAGTGTGATGGTGCCACTTTGTCCGTGTAAGCTTGGAGCTATTTTACCAGACACTGATCTTTGTGACTGGATGGAATCAGAACCCAAGTGTTTCTGTCTTCTGACCTTCATGTGCAGAGGTTAGCAGAAAAGGCAGTGATAATATGGCTGATTATAAACTCCATTTCAAGAAAATGTCAACTGTAATAGTAATAATAAGACTAGACTGTCATTTTGTGAATTGCTTTGTTAATGGTAAAATGATAGTACATGACAAGTACAAGAAGTTGCCCTCACCATAAAATATGTTATCTTTATAATGAAGTTTTAGTTTGGGAATTTACTTGTTGCAGACTTGTAAGTTTAATTGCAGTTGTCCTGCTATATATATTCATATACCCACAGTATTTGTTTTTTATGAAAGCAAATTGTCTTTTTCTGCATACCATCTTTGGCATATGGATGTTCATTGGACATTATGTGCTGAACTGAAGATCATCTCAACTTTGAAAAATAAAGTTTCTGTGCACTCACTGTTTAACTGTGTTGCCTCACAGCAAAAAAAAAAAAAAAAGCACATTCAGCAGCATTGGCTCTCTTTTTCCCAGTTTTCTGAATCATTTAGGTACAACATTGCTGCAGATATCGTTTTTAAATTGTATGAGTGAAGTACCAGGATGCCCCCGTCTTACCATTTTATTTTCACTTTTCAATAACAGCACAGCATTTAGTTTTTTAATTAGATTAAAATAATATTTCTAAAGGCCAAAAAGCTATCTAATTTATCAAAAATAAATTAATATTTATTAAATTAGTAGTGGTTTAGAAGTAATTTATTTAAATTAAGGCAAAAATAGAGCAATGTATTTCCAAAATATCAAAAAAAGCTATTTTTAAGGTCTTTATAGGTGCATTTTATTTTGACAGTTTTGACATATATTTTAAAAGTAGACATTTATCTGTCCATTTGTTTCACTTTGTTTCTTTCTTTTTCTTAGAGTAGAGACAAAGCATTTTAAGGCTAGATAAAATATACCTGTAATGCAGCTTGACCTCTGTAGTCGTGGGTGCTTTTCTCATGTACAGTAATTACATGCAGGATGGTGTGGTGAGAGTAATGAACAATGATGTTTCTGCTGAGAAGAGAGCTGAGCTGTATCTGGAACAGTGTCCCCTCTGAGCTTTGTCTCTACTGGTTTAGAAAACTATCAAGTGCTTCTGTGTGGCGGTGCAGAATTTTTTTTGCCCTCCACCGACACACAGTAATTGTAATTGTTAATACTGGTGAATTTTGCTTCGTGTCTCGGCTCGTAGTTACTTGGACTGGCACTGAAGGATGTCCTGTCTTAGGACTTGAGAAGTCCTGAGACAGGACATCCTTCTGCCTGAGTGCTGCCGTCTCAAACTAGCAGCTGACAAATGTCTTAAATCTTAGCAGTGACGACTCCGGTCCAGACTGCCTATTTTTTTCTTTCTTCTGATCTCTCTCTTCGGCTCTCCCTCGTGTCCCGTTCCCCGTTTCTTTTTCGATCCAAGTCAAGTCCTGATGAACCCTCATCTCTCCTTTCCCAGTCTGTCCTGTCGACTTCCTTTTCCACCCTCTTGGATGAACCCGCCTCCAGCATGACTGGGTAGCAGAGGAGCGGGAGCACAGTGGGTTGTGCTAGTGGAAGCTCAGGGCGCCTTCCACGGCAACCGTCTGTTGCCATATGCAGACACACTTGTTACCCATTCACATGTGTGCACACACAACATATACATACACATGTCAACACACAGCCAATCCCTCTGGGACCAGTGTCGCTTTAACCCGGAGGTGAGCATTTACCAAAGAAACTGCCGTCTGCCATAGAATGAATCGCACTAATTACGACCTTGCTGCGAGATAACTATAAATCATCCATGGCTAAACTGTCTAAAGGAGGTATGACAAGAAGTTTGAGGTTTTACAGTACAGGTTTTGGTAATGTTTACAGTATGAAGAAAATAAAGCTTTTTTTCCTCCAAATAGCCTTTACTTAGGTCTGAGGACTTCCACTGGAGAATTTCTTCTTCGTAGAATTTCTCTGAGATCTTTCCAGCACCAGGTCACAACAAATCAAATTTCTGATGCTTGCTCCAAATGCAAGTGTAGAGCTTGACGAAGACATGATGATCACACCTCTTGAAGCTGTTTTAGACGTGTCTGAACATGCCTTAATTATCAAGTCTTATCAAGACGTGTGGAAGTGGAATATCTTCAGAACATTGACCTGACCTTGTACATAAGAACTGTACAGAGCCCCCTGCTGTCTTTACACAGGGCTTCTGGGAAAACACTGGAAATGATCTGATATCAGAAGAAACTGATTCAGTCTCTGCAGCTCGTTTCAGCTCTGTAACTATTATTTTCTTTCTTTTCATTCTTTGGTACCATTGTGGCATGTCTGTTTGGGTTTCAGCTGTTATCACCAAATCATTACTTCCGTTGGGCTAAGATGTCTGTGTCGGAGACTCAAGACTCTGATCAAATTTCAATTGGGCTGGAAATCAGATCAAGTGAAAAATGCAACAAGGAGGTGTTTGGCAGCCTCTTGAATGTCATCTTTAGAGAGTTCAGGCTGACTGGAAACTGCTCAGCAGGCGCCAAATAATGGTGCTGACTGCAGTGTTGGACTGAAAATCATATGATGGGAAGAAACACTTATGGTCTCCGGCTCCATTCATATGTAACTTGTTTTTGGTCGAACACGGATGTACGTCTGGCTGGTCTTCTTGATTAATATGTCTGAAATGGATTGTAAAACAATATTAAAAAAAAAAAGAAAAATCAACTGGACCAACTCCAACTCTGTTGTAAGTGTTCACAGTGGTGAAGTTTGAGCCATTCAGCTAACAGCTTGTTGACAAACCTGGTTCTTCTTCCACAGTTAGATGCATGTTGAAGGCTGATTAATTTATGTGTTTATCTATGTATATATATATATGCATATATACTTTTCTACATATGTGCATATACATTTGTATATCTATATACATATGTGTATACATATTTTATTACATATGTTTATACATGTGTTCATGTATATATGGACTGTATATATGTATGTATGTCTACATACATCTTCATATTATTAATTGCACTTCTTCATTTTCAGGTCAGGCTCCCCCCAAACTAACTTTGGCGAGCTCAGGGCAGACTGATTCATAATGTTCAGACCAAGGGCTTCACCAAAATTTAAAAAAAAAAAAAATCTTCTAAGCAGAAGTGTAGTTAACATGTGATGAAAGCAGAGGGCAGAACAATGGAAGACAGCCTCAGACAGAGCAGTAAGACATGACGGTGTTGGCACCTGCACTGACTCTCAGCTCCGGTGTCCGATGCTGACAGCCATGTCAGCATCCCGGCACGAGAGACGCTTCACTGTGTACTAGGGTGTCATAACCGAGCTTTGACAAAGATCTTCTTTTACACAGCTACAGGTACTGAACAAAAGGATTGCATTTGTGTGTGTGTGTGTGTGTGTGTGTGTATGAATGTGTAGCAGCTGCTCAGCTGAACTGACACGACAAAGTGGAGTTGCATCAGTTGCTATAACTGCAGTTCTTGAGTGGGATAGGATGAAATGACTGTATAAAAATAATGCTAGTGTAGTATTAACATTATCTGGGTGTAGATGCATACTTTAAAATGTAGTATTGGATCGGTGCATAGTTTCACATATGTGCCAATATCCATTGAACCATTTTCAGCAACAGCAGAACGTCTGTTCATCAGACCTGCATTCAAACACAACACGCAGCAGTGCAGATATGATGTGTAAATGTAGCCAGGTCATTGATGAATTAGTCAATGTGTGCTTCAGTCACTTAAAGGCCAACAAGGATCTGCAGGACTTCAGGTACAGCACAGTATAAACACCACTTGAGTTGCCACATTAATAGGAATCCATAAGAATGAATACAAACCTATGGATATTATTTGTAAAATAACAACTTGAATGAAAAAATGATTTTAATTAAATATAGAGAATATAGAGGCATTTGAATGTAATATCAGACCTGATACTGTTATCTGTGTTGGTTCATATAGAGAATATAGAGGCATTTGAATGCATTTGAATGTAATATCAGACCTGATCCACATTAATTATTCATTGTATTAGCAAAACTGAATGAATGTGCTACTGGTGGCCACGTCTTATGGACTCTCTCTCTAAACACAAACTGTGTTTGCTTCAT